GCTCTGTGGACCAGCTCGGTTTACTTGTAACCTGCTTTTGAGTTTTACATTAAATCTATTTTGCACTTGTTTGTAGTGTATTGAAGACAAATGAAGCAGTGTGTGAAAGACGTCTGGCCCAGCTGAAGGTTTTCTCCCGCTGGAGAGATTATAGATCTCATCTGGCTATGCAACGCCTCCGGATCCCCCAGGAAGAGCTGGAAGATATTGCTGGATAGAGCAGTGTCTGGACTACCTTGGTCAGCCTATGAAATTAGAGACTGAGGCGAAGAGAAACATTAAATGTCGGAAAACTGTTTCACAATTTCCCAGAGACTTAACTTCTTCAAATAACCTGTTTTTGGAGATACAGGCAACGTATAAATCCAATACACATATATTTTTGTTAAGCCTATAATACAGAAGGTAGCTTTGCACCACACTCCTACTGCTTCATTTTCTCAAACCTCCCTTCATGTTTCTCTTCGCCTCAGTCTTTCTTTCCCTCATTCTGTAGCTCTTTCTGATGCTTATTCTCAAAAAGTTTGCAGCCGGAGGATCTAGTTGTATAATAAGGCCGGAGTTACTCAACCAGAAGAAACAATCTCCTCCGTCTCCCCCTCGGTTCCATTTTTCTCTCCTCTCACTCACAAGTAATAGCACGGCGAAAGGAGAAAAAAACCAGAGGAGAAAGGACGGGAGGAAGGAAGTTGAAGGTGATGAGAGGAGAAAGGCGAGTTACAAGATGAATGAGTTCTCCAGAAGAGAGGAGGAATCTATATATTTTTTTTTAAATCGAACCAACGTGCATTCGCAGCAAACTTTACACAACAAACCAACGGCAGTGCGGGTCGATAAAAGGGCTCCACGTTGCTCTCTGGATGCAGTCGGCTTTTGCTTCCCAGCTGGAGCGCCCGAATCTGCACTCAGCTGTGAAGCTGTCTTTCTGGCAGATTATCACTCTCACCCCGAGAAATTAGACGGCGCAGCGATCCAGCCTATCTTCGTACACAGGCACAATCCGTGCATTAAGAAACACTAGCACACACACAAACAGGCACAATCACGAGCCTGTTCGGTGACATTACATCTCTGCTGGGTGATCTCATTAACCACAGACACCGACAGCGAGATGGAACCAGTGATGCCGTGCGTGATGCTGAGTGTGTGTGAGTATGTGTGTGCATTCACAGATCGAACATTTGTACATGAGGAAAGACAGGAGTGACAAGGATTAACAAGCAGACTGAAGCCTGCTGGGCAATGATTGATGACTTTATATGTCTGTGTGTGTGTGTGTGTGTGTGTCTGTGTGCGCGTGTGTTTGTGATGGGTAAAGACATACACACTAAAACAAGTCCTCGTCGACAGTCGTGGGACTTTCAACGGCTCTATGAGACCGACTGTCACATTGGATTTTCAAAATAAGTGAGTGAAAGAAAGTGATGAAATCTTCCGGAACAAGACGTTCAATAAAAGCTCAAATCAGTCACAAAGACTCGTATGAGGTTATGAAAGACATCAAGAGTTTTCGCTGTTGTGACAATAATAATAATATACGTCTTTTATGTAACATTATTTTTCTAAAAAGAGCGTGCTTACAGAGGAAGAATAACTCGATTAGCGCCGCAACTCACGATTAACTGAGGGTCTCCAACGCTCCAAAACACACATTTATGAAGTTTACAGTGATATAAAACAGAGAAAAGCAGATTGAAGAAACAAAACACACGTAGATCAAAATAGTTGCAGATTATCTTTCTGGACACAGACTACCGGATTAATAGAGTACATTTTTAAACTGTAAACTCGATTTGAACAATGTGAAAGACAAAAGAAAAAGAAAAGATTGAGGGTATGAGCAACGTTATTAAAGTGGCACAGAAGAGATTTAGATTAAAATTATAATAGTTTAAATCAAAGCGCCAGAAGCCGACATATCTGGACTTTAAATCCCCAGTACGGGTCAAAACCGGAAAATACTGGATTCTTTGGTTCCCATTTATGCGACTAAATTGGGTCTTTTGTTAGAGTGGGTCTGCCTGGTAAAAGCTCACCAGTGTTGAATGGTGTAGGATTAATTATTTGACTGACCCACTGACAGTATTTAATTAGTGGACAGAGCTTCTGGGTCTGTGAAGTGAAGCCAACAAGTGTCATAAACCTGCAGTCTATGTAACAACCAGCAGGGGGCAGCTCCATTACCATTCAGTCTTATGGAGAAATAGGCCGACTTCTCGGTTGATTTATGAGCTCATGTTTATGGTTTCAGATCAAACTGTCAAAGTAGGCAGTGCTGATCAGATTTGGATGCAGATATGGATGAACTAACGGAATTAATACATTCATAGAGATTAGTTGTTTGAAAAGGGTTATAAATATTGATCAGCATTTCCCAAACCTCAAGCTGACGTCTTCAAACGTCTTGTTTTGTCCACAACGCAAAGATATTCAGTTTACTGTCAAAGAGGATAAAACAAACCAGAAAATATTCAAATCTAAGAAGCTGAAATCACTCAAACACAGAGCAATGAAGATCACGCTTTAGTTGCCACGAGCAGAGACTTTAAGGACAACTTATTTCCTGCTGTAAATTAGTCAAATATAAAGTCATTTCTAGGACAGCGGTTCCCAAACTTTCTTGTATCAAGAACTCCGACAATAGATGCACATTAGACCACCGACACCCAATATGTGCGGCTGAAGGAATCTCCTCTGGGGTTAGGATCACTACATATTACAATCATTCAAAACAGCCCTATTTCTATTAATGTGAAAACGTTCAAATATAATGGACCCCTGTTGGACCCCAAGAGACCGTCTTGAGTAATGCGTTACAGAAAGCTGACCCTGGATCTGCCACCCAGTAAATGATCCAATCACATCTCTGCTGAGATCTCATGAGAAGGACCCTCTATTTTCTGAAGCACAACCTCTTACAGGACAACCCTGTCACCAGAAAACAGCATGGATATTGAACAAATCNNGACTAATTAACTGGCTACAAACTGGCTCCTCTTCCTCCGTTTTCTCTCCTGCCGCTGCCTGAACCCACAGAGTCTTCATCCTCAGAGTCAGAGTCCTGGTCGGAGCCAAGCCGCCCAGGAAGAGCGCCGGATTTTTAAGCCAGTTTGACAAAATGGTCGAACCATGTAATTACAACAATGGCGTCCATCATGTGATGCACACTGGCCCAAGAACATTCGGAAAGACTACAAGAACCAAACAATTAAATCATTTTATCCCTATGCAAGTTAATGAGGGCTAAACTAGAAGGTAACAGCACAAGTGCCCAATGCTGTATCTAGTTCTTCCTCATACATAAATATCGGAAGCTGTGAACCCGACTCCGGTTCTGGTGCTCGTTCTCCAATGCTAGCTCCTATGCTAACAGTGTAAACAAACCTCCACCTGTACTTTGACCTTGCAGTCCAGGTAGAATCAGCTAATAGGACGGCTACATAGCTAATGCCAGCTACCACTGTGTTACAAGAGAAAAGGTCCGTGTTGCAACAATCCCCTGATACTTTAGTCCAACAAGGCCTGAATCCAACGGCCTGTCCGACTAATGAAAAGTGGGTCGATTAACTCACATGGTGACATGGTTAGAATCAGGGGAATATCAGGGTTATGGGAAATAAACTGTTGGTTTATGGAGCTATAACAGAGGCTTGGATAAGATCAGGACGGGTGAATATCAGGGTTTGGATGTACAATCAATCCATAGATAAATTCAATAACATACAATATAATGATGTAGTTTGTCCATAAACAATTCCAAAGTCTTTGTACAGTTATTTGTTTTTTTGTCCACATCTTACAAACTCCACACACACAGTCTGTGACTTTCAGTTATAAATCTGTAGCATCTGAGACGGAGAGCAGATCACCCAAACATCAACCGGGGTCATTTTCTAGGACGAAGCTCCTGATGAGCCGCAGAAGACATACAGCTCATTAAACTGTCCTCCAAACACAAACAGCATCAGGTCTTTCAGAAAATCCCCGAAAACAACAACATCGCCTCTACTGAAGATACTGAACAACTGTAAGTCCACTCAACACAACTGAGTTTAATTCATGTGAATGATCGACTATTAATTTATGTTAATTCATTTCTTTTATTAACTGTTATTGTACACTGTTAAACCAGATAAGTTCATTTAACTCAACATTTTGTAAGTAAAACAAACATTCTTGATCAAATAGCTTCAGTAAGTGACTACTGACTGACCATATTTTAGTTCAGGTAAATAGCCCAGTGGTTATATAAAATAACACTGACTCTGGGTCAGAACAACCTACTGTCTTCCACCAATCAGTTAACCCAGTGTTGTGTCGGTGCTGTATGGACTGGATGATTTATGTGAGTGAAGGTCTGAGGTTCAAAGACACATTCAAGAACCAGTATCCTGATAATGAAATGAATGATGTGAGTGAGCTATATAAAGCATTAATAAATAATCTATTAACCAACAATAAAGCCTTTAGAAACAAACAAACAAACAAACAGTCATATGTGTGTTTCTGGAGTCATGTTTCAACTTTTCCTGCTGCTGCTCAAACTGGAGGGATCCCCTCTGTCTCCCACTCTGCCTGACCAACAGTCCAACCTGCAGAGCTGGTGCACAGGTGACCTCTCTTTCGTTCTCTCTCTCTCTCTCTCTGCGTTCGAGGCTCCCACGCACAGGAGTGGGCTCCGGTCCACATGGACTCCTCTCAGGATGCCAGTGCACAGCCCGGACTGTTGTGCCAGAACTGGTTGGAAGCAGCAGACAGTCCCGCAAAAAAGCAACGTTAATTTCAGGACTTCAAAGGCAGCTTCAGACTCCCTCTCTCTCCCCCCCCCTCTCCCTCCCTCTCTCTCCCTCCCTCTCTCTCCCTCTCCTCCTCCTACGAGTCGCCTCTAAAACAAGCCAGGGATGCCCAAAAGACTCAAGCTCCTGCCTGTCGTTGTGCTAAGCCGATGGGAGCTGTGGAGTTGGGGGGTTGGGGGTGAAACATGCAGATGATGACTGTACCTCCTGCTGAGACGCAGCTCCACAGCAGCCCGATCCACAGCACCGCCGGGAAGGTGATGCGGAGTCCGACCGAGCAGGCGGCCGGCGGCATGGCGACAAAAGCCGGTCCAGAGGGAGGAGGAGGAGGTGGAGGAGGAGGTGGAGGAGGAGGAGGAGAGGGTGTGTGGAGAGAGAACAGAGGACTCTCTGTTAGCTGATCTGCAGTCAGTGGAGGAGGGAGGTGGATCCGGATCAGAGAGTGCCGATCCGCATGTCAGCGCAGCATCCTCCTGACTGCAAGGAGCGCCTCCTGCTTTCTGCCTGTCCTCCTTTTCTCCTCCGCGGACTCTTCTGTCCTCTCTCTCTCTCTCTCTCTCGCTCTCTCTCACTCTCTC